CCTCCCATTCTACTTTTAAATACTCTAGGAACAACAAGTAGGCCTGCAGAGCGAGAGCGAAGTGCTCTAATAGGGTGATATGGAGCTAATATGAAATGATTAGAATTGTAACAAGAACAAGAGGAAACAAAACCAGTTCAGACAACAAGAGTGAGACCAGAAAACCACAAACAAGACCACACCACTGACCAGCTGATAAACAGAGAAGCAGCAGGGCTGTGTATACACCACAGATACTGAATAACACGACACAGGTGGACTCACACCTTTTACCACACCTGTGCAGCAGGTGGACATGAGCTTGTAGTGATTTTGTGCTCAGTCTCTGAGGGTAAGGAGGCTAAACGGGATTCACTGAACTTTGTGTGGATCAACACGAGTTCATTGTGTTGTTGAGCTTTTTAAAGCCATCGCACTGACGTCACTGCGGCAGCCAGATGCATGCTGGGAAAGGAGGCACCAAATATAAAAGTGTTATTTGAATAAATGCTGTGAGACCAAAGAGTAGAGTCAGTCAAACAGACGAACTCTCTGCTTGATTGCTTCCCTGTAACAGAGTCATGTGGTGTTTCTCTGGGCTTACAGGGTGAGGACGGCGGTCAGCTGGTGGTGGTGGTCGTCTGCGTCCTGCTGGGGCTGGTGTCTCTGCTCGTCCTCGTAGGACTCCTGGGTGAGTTTAGTTAAACTGTCCTCACAGTGACAAGTTTGTTTATACTCATTTCCAGACAGCTCGTGCTGCACAAACAGCCCAACAATGATGCCATTAAAACAGAAACAATAGTACAACAATAAACACAAAGGGACAATAAGAGAATTAAAACAAAACCCAAGACTGCTGAATAAGACCAAATGTTTTGGTCTTAGTGTAAAGAACAGAGTATAAAAATGTGTCTTTAGGAGTGATTTAAATATTTAGGGGGAAACTACTCCAAAGTCAGAGAGACGGCTCTATCGCCATGAGATCTGAGTTTAGTCCGAGGGACATCTTTCACTCTGAGCTGGACCTCGTGGTTTTCTGGAGCTCCGACAGGTATGAAGGGCTCGGATAAAAGTTTGATCCTGTAGGAAACTGGAAGAGCAGAGAAGCACAAAGTAAAGGAGGACAAAGAGGAAGTTCCCATCCATGATCTGGTGTTTTTAGCTGAGCCAGACAGGAAACATGGAGGTCATGTGACGCAGCGCGGTTTAATAAACCTGAGCTTTGAATCAGGACAGTGAACAATGGTGTAGGGTAGGGCTGGGCGATATGACCCAAAATTCATATCTCGATATTTTTTTAAAGCCATAAAGTAAGAACAGAAAGAGAGTTCTTAGTCAAAGCTGTGTCCCAGATGTCACACAGGCACTTTTATTAACATACAGCACAGATGTACATAAAATTTACTACTCAAAAATAAATTATGAGCATTTATTAAATAATCATGCTCCATAAATAAAAGAAAACAATGTTGTTTTTGTGCATAACAAAAAGCTCACAATTGTGCAGTCAAAATGTAAACTAAAAGATGCAGAGCATAATAACAAAGACAGATTTCACAGCTGCTCTGTTCCCAACTTCTACTGCGTGACTGACAGCCTGGAGTTTGAAATCCTCTTCAGGTGCTATTTATGGTCTTTATACACACACAATACGGTAATATTACGTTGAAGCACAGTACGTATCACTCCGCGAGGCTCCTCGGTAGCCGTAATGCTCCGACAATCCATCAAGCGCTGCATCTCCGTAGCTTACCAAAGTCGTACTAAAACATTTTTTGACAGATGCTGAGCGCCGTGTAGCACATAAAATCGGTCAATCAAGCACAACCTGAACTCATACATAAGGCGCGCTGTCAACTTTTGAGAAAATGAAAGGATTTTAGGCCGTGCAGCACCTGTGGGCTGCATGGCGTTAGCGTGGTTAGCTCGTTAGTGTGGTTAGCTCGTTAGCGCGGTTAGCTCGTTAGCATGTTGACGCCGTCCAGCCCCACGCACGGGGCGATGCGCAGTAACTCGTTAACGGAGATTTGCCGTGTCCATCTTGTCGCTGCCTGCAGGTGAAGCTATGGGGGAGGAGGGGGAGTTGTGTTCAGTGAAGGAGAGGCGGCGTAACGTTGCGTAGAGACAAAAGTGGACGAAAGAGAGGCAAACTTGTGGCTCCACATATCGATATAAAGGATATGGTCACATCTTATATCTCGTATAAAAATATATCGATATTTTTAAAAAACTCGATATATCGCCCAGCTCTAGTGTAGGCTTTGATAACAGGGACACGTCCTGTCAGCTCCTCTCAGATCAGCTGATTGTTATTTTTGTACAATAATCGTTGGATATTTAATGGAGCCCTGCAAAAGGACACGAGGATGAAGAGTGGACAGGTGTATATGTTCCTCGTGGCACACCTGTGAAGGAGACGTGCAGGAGACAGGAGAGTGAAACCAGACAGTTTAACACCAACATGGAGCTCGAGTGAGCGGGAAGGTTAGAGACACCACAGCGCCCCCTGCAGGAGGCGAGGCCGCTGAGATGGTGCGGAGGCCGAGCTGAAGGTGTGAACGCTTCAACAGTTTGTTCACCTCTGCAGACACGCCCGAGGAGCTCCGCCTCCTCCTGAGAACCAGATGTTGGGGTCTGTGTCAGAGCGAGTGCGTGGGCTGCATCGCTCATCATTCCTGAGAATCGTGCGGTAGACCCTCGTGCTGACGTCAGCGCCCCCGCTCTGCAGCAGCAGCTCTGATGGAAACGCTGAGCTGCATCAGGGAACACGTCCGTGTGACGTGACTCATCATGTCTGCAGGGAATCGTGTTAAAGTGCAGATGAAGGTGCGTGTCAGGGCCTCCTCTGGTCCTCCCACGGAGCATCTGCTGCACGCACGAAGCTCCAGTCTGCTGCTGTGTGCGTGTAGGACAGGAAACAACGTTAAAATAAAGAAACTGAACGACGTTCTGAGCTCATTCAGCTCCTCGTGAGCTGTGATCTGGACCCAACATGGCGTCTGCACCTCAGCGATCATCAGGAGCGCGTCTCAGTGCGTTGGTGTGTGTGTTTCTCGTGTTGGGCGGTCAGCGCGTCGCTGTTTGGGGCTCGGTTGCTCGGCTCGGTGCTGATTTGTTCTTTTTACATCACAAATTGAACGTCTCGTCATTAACATGTTTCTGCTGTTTTGTGTCTCTGCAGCGAGAAGACTGAAGCTCCTCCCCACAGTGTGAGTGCACGATCTTTATCTTTGTGTTTCTGAGTAACTAACGTGTCACCTCGACCATTGCGGACGCTGCTGAGAAGTCGTGACTCATCTTCTCTCAGCCTTCATCGCGTGTTCAGACTGAAACTGAGGTGAGAGAACCACAGAGTTCAGACCAGGCTGAGGAAACTTCAACGGCGGCTCGCTCGACCTTTACGGCCATCAGAGTGGAATCATTTAGAGCTGACGCCTGTGTCAGAGCTCAGCACCACACCCTCCACCCCTCCGCTACCAGAAACACCGTCCATCAAAGCCCTGAACAGAGTCCGCCATTATGGCGTCCAAACTCAAGAACAAGCGCGACACTACCAAAGCTCCAAAGGTTGATCCACATCCTCAGTGTTTCCATCACTGCTGGAGCCTCAGAGCACGGGGAGGAAGATCCTTCATCATCATCATTAACACGACTCGTTAATGCTTCATTTGAACTGCAGCGTAATCAGAGTCACAAACAGGAAGTGACCTTTCACACTGCTTTGAGTCAAGTTTGAGTCATGATGAGGATGGAAGCAGGAAACAGATTCAATCAGAGTTTTAGATGTGTGGATAAAATTAAATCATATTTTTTAATATTTGGTTTTATTCGTTTTATTTTGGAGCTTCTCTGCAGGAAGTTATGATCTCCTGCAGTCAGAGTAATATCATTAATGTTATAAAGGTCAGCTGACTAACACTCTCGCTCTCGTGTCTCAGCCCTCGGCAGCATCGGCATATCAGCAGCTCGGTGCGGTTCAACGCCACGTCGTCGACTCTGCAGCTGCACGCTCAGCCCGCCGCCGTGGACAACATCTACCAGATGGATGGTGGTGAGGGAGGCGTATACGAGAATTGCCCCTGAGCTCTGAGGCTCCACCCACTCATCCGCAGAGTCTGGAGGCAGGACGATGACGAGCTCTTCTGGACTTTGAGGAGATGTCGAGGACAGACGAGACAACAGCTCTGAGAAGCCTCCAGTATTTTAGGAAGATAGCCTCGTCCAATCAGAGAGCTACAGCTGTGGTCCCAGGTGACTAACCCCGCCTTCAGGCTGAAGGTTTGCAGGCAGCAGGTGCTAACATGAGAGCTAACATGTAAATAAAGATGTAAAGAGCTTTTATTGTGAAAGGTTTGGTGAGGTTTCCTGTTTTTTCAGATTTAATTTAATAAAATGTTTGGAGGACTTTTAAAGGTTGGTTTGAACTCTTCTTCTGCTCCTTTAAACACGTTTACCTCTGACTGGTGACCTGGGCGCTCAGTTCTTCTGCTGCACGCTGCTGCCACCTGCTGGCCGGACAGATGACCTGCAGCTGCACAGACTCAGCTGTGCTGCGAGCTCAGGCTGTTTGATGGACTGACTATGATTAAAAAAGACTCTGTAATATCTCTTATCACAGCCATGGGGGCGGAGTTATCCCACACCTGTACTAGGGTAAAGATGCAATTTTGTAAGATCGCTATGACGACAGTAATAAAGGTTATTCGTTCCTTTGATCCAGCTCAGATGTGACGTCTTTGTTTCTGAAAACAGACAGTGCTAGCTTAGCAGTTGACAGTTACATGGGTGTAAGGCTGATCCTTATGTACTGAATAAAGGAAACTGTATGACAACTCTGAGGCGATTTCTTCATAAGTATTGAAGCCACAACAGTTAATAGTGATGTGCGAATCATGAACGAATCGTTCAATACTCTGACTCATGATTCACAAGCCCAACTGACTCACTGACTCATCCCTGTTGCTGTTAGCAGCAATATATCTATCTTATAATTAAAATTGTGAAAAACACGACATCCTGTATCTCAACAAAAACATTTCTGCTCTGAACTGGAAGAAAAAACCCTGAGTAGAAGCTCACATCAAGACAATAGCTCCTCGGTTCACAGTAGCATCGCTCTGCTAACATGCTAACAGCACATTTGACTCACCCCCCTCCCTCCTGGCTCACAGCTTCTTCTTCTTCTT